TAGATGTTTATTCAGAGAAAGTACGTTTTTGTGTCTGATTTCGTAACTTAATTAATAGTTAGCACTAATTAATTAGTAGATTTAAAGTCACCCCCAGGAACCATTAAGATTGACACTTAGTTTGTGAAAATCCGATCATTAGAACGAAAGTTATTCAGGGTGATTCGTTTTTTTTGCGGACTGTACGTCACATGAAAATATGTTATTTTTCTATAACTTACATAAAGCCATATCGTTGAAATTGATTTTCCTGTGGGAACAGAAAAAATATCCAATTAAAAATCTATTTTTATGTTGTCATTTTTCGGCCTTTTCAAAATTATTCATAACATAAATTATCGGTGTGACCTCTCTTAAAAAGCCGTGTTGTTACTAATACAAAATGAAAGTGCCAGGTCTTAAATTAGGCATTATCCTGGCACTTGAATGCCAAGAAATAATTTTAAGATGCATAATGTTTATAAACTACAGTGCTCTCTATAGAGTCATAATTATGGTTATTGAATGATTTATACATGCTATTGAGAGCGTAGATAGAACTTGTTCAACATTTTGATGGATTGCACAAATTGAACATTTGTAGTATTAACAAGAAACTTCGTTATTGTATGTATCTTTCTTTGTATTACCTCTAAGAGAACTTTAGGACAGGAGGAATCATTTTGGATAACAATGTATGGAAAAATAATATAAGGATAATCAGGTATTTGAACGTTTTTATTATTTTGCAGTTTAAGTTACGTTATGGGGCCATTCTATTCAATGATAGATATGCCGCAGTTCTGCTACAGCATTTATTCTTTATGGGGTAATCCAGACAGAAAAAAAGAGAATATAAGAAGAGGATCTGGTAATTATAAGACATTTTATATTTCTTTATAAAATGTTTTACCTTATTATTGCTACTCGGTTTTTTATTCAAAAAATATACCTTAACCAAACGCTTAATTTTTTATACCATGAATGAGATAGTTGTTAGAAATTACTTTATCTTTTAACTTTGTGGAAACTGTGAGGACTAAAGGAGAAAAAATCTGAGCTTCGTTGCCTTTTCTTGGATCTTTTTTGTTGCCTTTCTCACTTTAAAAAATGCTTTAGTTCAAGACTAAAAATATTCTGGTAAAATTACTGTAATGTAAAGTAATGGTATTTCTGGTTAAAAAAAAATTAAAAATTTTAAAAATTGCGATCACCACACGGCGATTACAGGTTACCCATTAGCAAAATGGTTGTAGTCTATTTTGTTTTTTGGAAAATCAGCTTTATTGTGTTTTCATCTTGGACATCTTTAACCGTTTATCCTGAGCTGCTCGGTACATAATTTCGCAGACATATTTTAATGCAGCTCAGACACTTTCTGTGTAAATTCTTTTGATGATTGAACAGAGATTGAACTGCCAATCGAGATCATTATTAACATTTTCGGATTGGTACAATGGTGTTTGAATGAGATTGTAAGCTGCATCATACGCCTGTTTCTGATTCAATAGTTTATACATGAAATGGGATTTCAAAACTATGTTTTTTTTTTCAATTTTACATGAATTGTGAATGTATCATTTATATTACGTGGAAGACAGACTATGGTCTTGTGGAAGTCATTGGGTAAGTTGACAATGGATCTTTTTTATCCCTAACTGGTGAACAACACCCAGTTCTCGTATTTGCAAGAAAGGGATTTTTAGAGCCATCAATCGCTTATCGGTAGGGTTCAATTCTGTCATCCACTTTAGTACTTTTGTGCGGAAGGGGCTTCTTTGCTTGCGTTTGCGAACGGAATCCTTTCATTTTTCCGTTTGTGTGTAACGCTTAAGGTATTCCCGTCGACGTTCTTTCACTTTGGCTTTTCAGCCTCGGTAAGCTTAGACCTTGGCACTGGTTTTTTTTTGCTTCAACACTAACCTTGGGGCCGTGTCAATTAGTTTGAGACCCTCTTTACAATACTATTTCGCCCGAAATAGTATTGAAAACGATCCAGTTTGAATTGTAGAATAAAATTTCTGATTCTTAATGAAAACATTAACAACAAAAATATCGTTCAAATGATGAAATTCTTTTTTATTCACAACTCAAGAAGTATTTATAGGATCTCTCTGGTTCCATATCTGAAAACAAAACTCTCCAACTTAATGCATAACAAATTTAAAAGTGAAAAGAAGAATTCTACAAAAAATATCAAACTGCAGCGATCGCCATAGCAACGCATGGAATGACGACGCATGCGCACTGTTTACTATTAATCTTGAACACAGGTGAAAAGTGTGATGACGTCCAAATAAGATGCGCACGCTATCAAACCCTAAATAGGACCCAATTTGAAAATGAGCAGAAAAAACTCGTTATGGTTGCTAAAACCAAAATACATGGCATTCAAACCATTCACTTGGCAAACCATTAATTGTGAGTTTGATTGTGAGTTAAGTTTGCAGCAAGTTTCAATCATATTTTATTTCTTATTAGCCGCTTAAGGCGGCCAGCTGTCCTCCACGCTAAAGGTTTTCACAAATAAAGTTTTTTAAAACATAGCAAGAAATCTGAAGATTAGTGGATCTGAAATTAGTGTTCCTGTCCTGCAATTTTGTCTTCATATCCAGTTCTGCTGCAGATGTGTTATAGCTCTTGAGGATGTTTGAAGATGTAACTTTGCTATGGTAATCTAAGGCCTATGGTAACCTAACCTATAATATAACTATCAGGTGGAGACTTGTTTTTTTTTTTTAAAAAGGCCTCAGAAATTGTAAAAACATACAGAAGTTGCTTTCGAAATCATCATTGGCCAATAGCTGAAAATTAAAACGCAGTTAATAACATATTTAAGAAACGGCAATAAAATAAAACTTGTGTCAGTCAGCATACATATAGTATATAATTCTTCTTATTCTTGTAAAACTTCTTTGTAAACAATATTTTTAGTTTTTCCATTTGGTGCCAATAAATATAAGTTCTTTCCATCACCAACTCTTGAGCAGCCAACATAAAGCTGTCCATGTGAAACGCAAGGCTTCTGCAAGTCAAGACCAACGACTTTTAAAGATTGTCCCTGAGATTTATTTATACTCATCGCAAAACTAAGTCGAACAGGAAACTGAAGTCGTTTAAACTGAAATGGATTGTCTGAAGATATGATGGGGATGCGAGGAATAAGCACACTATTTCCTGTTGACTGTCCTGTTATAATCATAGCTTCAATAACATTAGGCATCAATTTTTTCACAATCAATCTTGTTCCATTACACAATGCAGGTGGATCCAAATTTCTTAAAAGCGTAATTGGTGCCCCAATTTTCAATTCTAATTTATGTGCAGGCACTCCAGGTGGTTCCAATGAGTTCAAAAATTCTGTCGGATAGTTGACAACATGATCTATTTCCATGACAGCGTCGATCGACTTGTAAATTTACAGAGCACCAGGTAATTTTTTTAAAAGTTTGTTATTTATCACGTTAACAATATCATTTGTTGGAGAAAGGATAGATCTTTCACATAGCCATTGAGGGTTGCAGTAATTTTCATGAATATTAGGAAAAACTATTTCTTTGAGTTCGTCGGTTGTAGCAACACGATTTCCAATATTTTTCACATCTATAAGCCCTTCTTTATCGCCACTAATATCACCATTTCCAAGTCTTAGAAGATTGTTGGCAAATTCCTGAGCAAAGACTTCTCCTGTTAAATGAACTCGCATATTTGTTTTCAGCCGCAGTCTTTGAACATTTGTCCAAATGTAAGATGACTTTATACATGCATGTATTTCATCTGCCTTTGTCCCACGTTCTATTACGGGAAGTGTTTGTCGAAAATCACCAGATAAAACTAAAGTTGCACCCCCATACACTTGTTGTTTTTTAAAAGGTCTTGCATAGTGTTATCCAGGGCTTCTAAAGCAGCTTTATGTGACATAGTGCACTCATCCCAAACTTTTAGTTTACATCTTCTAAGAACATCAGCTTTGTCTGAGCTTCTGGAAATATTGCAGGTAGGATGCTCGATGATTGATAAATTTAAAGGTAATTTGAACACTGAATGAGCTGTTCGTCCACCAGACAAAAGAGTTGCAGCAATACCAGAGGATGCAACAGCAAGTGCAATCTTATTTCTTTGTCTCACTTTTGCTAAAATCAGATTTATGAGATAAGTTTTTCCTGTTCCACCAGGTGCATCCACAAAAAATATTCCACCGACGTCATTAAACACAGCAAATAAGATTTTCTCCAAAGCTTCCTTCTGGTCTTGAACCAGATTTGGCTCATTCGAATCAATGTATGATGTCATTTCATCTGTATTGTAATTTGTTGCCCTCAAAATTTCTCTGTTTAAGTCAATGGTATCTGTTTGTTGTAGCAAAGGAAGTCCATAAGTTTTTAAACCAGAACCACCCAATTCTTTGACCTTGTTTTCAAGAAGAATTAATGCCTGATTGAAGATGGCATCATCATAATTTGAATCCATGTCAGTACTTCTAATCCTGGCCTGGTGCAAAACATCTTCAAGCATATTTTCTCTTTGTAAATTCCACAATTCCAGAAGGTTAGCAATAGAACATGTTTGCAACATAATTGCAAATAAATTACGCAGCATTTCAGGTGATCGAACAACAACAGCTTCTTCTAACGTGCTTTTCCAGTGCGAGTCATTTTCAAGAAGTTCTCTTACCAGGCAAGCCTGCTTAAATGTTTCGCATTTTATTTCTCCAAAAGTCTTTAAGTCATTGAAAGATGTAGGTCCGTGCACCTCATGAAGCAGCAGTCGAAGATGAAAACATTCTGAATTGTTAGGATGAATAGTGTAGACGCGACCAGGTGCATCACTTGATTTAATTCCTTTGTTTGCAGATACTATCTGACCAGATTTCCACCGAACCCACTTTTTGCTGCTTGCAGACCATGTATAGTACTTCGGCAATTGATTATACAACAAAGTGTGAGCAAAATCATCGTTCTGACATAAGCTAAAGAAAGAAGTAAGTGTTGTGACTGGTGGAGCTTGAGCTCTTTCCCGTGCGTTTTCTGATGTGAAATAAACTCGCTGGCCATTCTCTAAGTGTACACTTAAATGAACAACTGTTGGATGCCTTTCATGTATAGGGAAACCCAAAATACGCCACACTGCCTCATTGCTACTGATGTATCGTCCTATTTCATAATGCTGTACTTCATCATGCACACTTTCGTCGTTGGCAATGTTAAATACAGCCATATCAGATCCTTTGTTTACGTATTTGCAAACATATTTTATAGATTTTATCGAATTACAAAATTCCACATTAATATGGGCATTAAAAGTTTTTGACAACAATGGACAAAAAGGAACTACCCATCTATTATCAATAACAATATCAGAACTCCGTACTTTTTTAACTGTCGTATAACCACCATCCTCTGGACTCTGTCGACGATACAGGGGATATCCATCTTCCCCTGTTTGTGTTTCTTTCAAAAAATTTCGAGGATACCTCTTCGTACATTTTCCATCTTTCATGCAAGGAGACTGTTGATTCAGGATCCCACAAGGGCCATGTATCATTTGCGTCTTAATAACATCATGCAAAACTGGATCAATTTTTGGATCTGGTATTTCTGCACTTATTACATTATCTATGCTATGAACATGGATTTTTTCATGCAGCCAAATTAAGATATGAGCATGTGGGAGACCACGTTTTTGCCACTCTATTGTGTACATAAAACATTGAACAGAGCCAAATACTTTTCCTTTGTTGATGAGAATCATAAGAGCTCTTAGTTTAAGATGAAAAACTCTTGCTAGCAAATCATGTCGATCGTGACTTCTCTGCCTAGGCATTAATTCATTGGTAACCTCCTGCCACTGAGGATTACAGGTGAATGTAATAAACAAATCAGGCTTCCCGTAATTTCTAACATATGTCATCGCATCTTGAGTTCGCTCATGCATGTAGCGTGGACCACCAGTAAATGTAGAAGGTAAAATTACCATTTTACCTATATCATGAACACTCCCGTCTCTGTTTAGGGCATCCTTGAGATGAACATACTCTTCAACACGTAGTTTCTTCTGGTTCAAGCGTACAAACCTCAGTCGCTCAGATTCAATTTTTGCGAACATGTCCACAATAAATTGATTAAAAAGTTCCTTGCATCTCAAAATAATATTGAAATTTGCAGCTCGAAACATAATTCGATAGGCATAAAAATCCATTGCTGAAATTTTCTTAGAAGTCGGGAAGCCAGTAGTTGGGTTTACTTGCCTTAGTTCAAAATGGTAGCCGTCTTCACCTTGCCAGAACATCAAAGGATACTGCAATGCATCATATGCTCGGTGTGTTTCTGCAATTTTTTTAATTTCATTACTTTTTAATTCCAATACTATATCTCTGCTGCTGTATACATCACCTGCAAGAATAACTGCCACCTCCGATGTATTTGGAGCATTAAATCGTCTTTCATGCTGACCGACAGGTGTTTTATCTGCCTGAATTATAACTTTTAATTCAGGAGTCATTTTCTCCATGGCCAACTTAAAACTTCTCACGTAATTATTGTGTTCATGCAACATTTCTTGCAAACTTGAAACTAATGCTTGTTTTGCTTTCAAAACATTCCTGCAACGTTGTTCGGATTGCTTTTCCTGATCACCTACAAAGTATAATTGAAGAAAATTTGGCTTATCATTTATTTGTGGTTGTAGGCTTCCTATTCTGTGGTACACTTGTCCCTGAACTTTGAAAGTAGGCATAAAGCCTTGTTCCCGAATTTCACTCCCAGATCCAAATGATGTCATCTGAAAGCATGAATTGTATCTTCTGATGTTACTCTGAAAATGTACTGTTTCAATTGAAGAATCTGTTAACAATGCCAGTAGAGGTTCAGGAGGTGTTTGAAGTTCACATAGCTTAATTTTTCCATTGCTACAACACATACTTGGTGTTTCACCTTTCCATTTTAATGCCTGGCAAGAAATGCATTCTGTTGCCATTCCGCCAATTTCTATCAATGGATCTGATGCATAACATAAAGATGGGTTGTACATAAATGCAGAGTTTTCCTTGTCTTGCCACAAATGCAATCGAGCTTGGGATGTTGAAGCACGATTTTCTTCTAGCCTTCTTCGACGTTCCTGGGATGTTTCTCGGGTCCTTGCATTTCTGGTTGAGACACGATTATTTTCTAATCTTCTTCCGCGTTCTTCAGATGTTTCTCGGGTCCTTGCATTTCTGGTTGAGACACGATCATTTTCTAATCTTCTTCCGCGTTCTTCAGATGTTTCTTGGGTCCTTGCATTTCTGGTTGAGACACGATTATTTTCTAATCTTCTTCCGCGTTCTTCAGATGTTTCTCGGGTCCTTGCATTTCTGGTTGAGACACGATCATTTTCTAATCTTCTTCCGCGTTCTTCAGATGTTTCTNGCCATGTGTAATTGTTTTTTAATTATTGCACGATACACTCTCAGAATATCATACTAATTATTTACTAGTGGAATATCTATTTTGTAATATTTTTTTTACAAATCTTATAAAAAAGATTGTCATCAGTAAGTGTGTCTCTTCGAAAAGCTTAATATTTGAAAATATTTTTCTTTTTAATAATGTACAAAAAATAAAATTATTTTTGAAAATTACAAATAATATTTTAAAGTTTTACAATTTTAAGAATAGAAATTCCTTGCTAAATATTTTGTAATTTTTTTTACTAGTACTTTACAATTGTCCTTATTTAAATACTTGGCTAAATTATCTTTTCCCATTTTTATATAAATAAGTCGCTTGTATCTAAATAATCGCAGTAGTTATGTTTTCATTATTTCAGCTTTAAATTTCTATCATATGGTTCTGAAGGAATTCGTTAAAACCTATTTTAAAAAAGCAATTTTATGAATATGCCAATAAAATTATTATTTCCATATTTCTCTCTTTTCTGACATGATATAAAGTATTATTTGTCTCGTAATCGTTTTTTTTTTATTAAAATATTTTTTTTTTTACTTTCTAATCCAATTAATTTCCGATCCAAATAATCTAATTATTTTCTATTCCAATTAAATCGGATATTTCATTACATATTTGAAAATAATAAATTATACACTTGAATGAGTTTTATGCTTTTGACCTTAATAGTTATCCTGAATCATGATTTGAAATTGAAATAAAAAATTTCTTTTTAAGTCATTTTCTATAATGAACTGCTAATCATATAGCTTCATGAAAAACATCAAATATTTCTACATGTTCTTTTTAATGAGTTATAAAGTGATAAATAACATTGATTTATTCTCTTGAAAAAAGAAAAATTAACCACTTAAAAATATTAAATTGCTTATAAGTTAGCTAAAGCAAAAATATATCATTTTTCTCAAAAAAGATTTTAACTCTGTCTAATAGTTTTCTCTTTATACGAATTTGATCATCGACACTTCCAAAGATGACGTCAAAAATTTACTGAGAGACCTTGACTGCCAGTGGCTATGATTAAAGCTAGCTGACGAAAATCAGAACAGGAATACTAAATGTAGAATGCATGTTAAAATCATCTTCCAGAAAGGTTAAGTGTTAAGGAATCATTATAAAATTATTGCATTTTTAAATAAATAACACTAAATGCATTAAAAAAGAATTTTGAATGGTTTTGTTAAAGTAATACTATTTTACGGTAGGTTCATAAATAATATTATTGGAAAAACTAAATCGAATCGCTTAAGATAGATGAAAAATCGTTAAATTTTTGATCAAACGGAGACATGAGAATATCGTTATCCACTACGGGAGATTGAAACCGATATGCGATTAAATACTGAACAGATTATAGAATTTGTTTTCTGCGAAAAAACTATCTCCTATATTTAAGACTAACAAAATAAATGCAATAAGTATACTTACTTACATATCCAGAAGGCAAATTATTTTTTGTAAAATATATTTAATATCAATTTAAGGATACAGAGATTTCGTTTAAAGTCTTCAGTGTCGCATTGAATGTAGAAAAAAATTAATACAGAGAACTTGTAATTGACAGAAAGAATTTATATATTTATTAAAATTGAATTTAATGATCAAAGATATTTCTCATATTTAACTCAATATTTGAAGTATTAAAAATTAACGACATTTAACCAAAGGCTAAAAATGAAAAATGAAATAAAATGAAATAGCATATCCTTAACTTTTTCTTTGGTTATGAAAAATAACGATAATGTCTTATAAAGCAGAGATCTGAAAATGATAAAAAGTAACTTCTAAGAAACATTTTTGTGTTAATATAGTATTTAGAACTGTGAATTTTGCTGTTAACTATTTGTTATTGTTTTTGTTTTTTTAAAATTGTAATTGCATCACTTATAAAAGTAGCTTCAGCGGGAGACTTTCTTTTAACCTCCTTTCCGAAGTAGTTATGATTAAAAATGGCATACTGTGAAATTTTCATACCAAAATTATCGCTTCACAAACTAAATACCTCTATTACTTTTCTGTATTATTTTATAATTATATTTAAAGTTTCGGAAATTAGAATCTAAATTAAATTATATTTGCAAGTCTTTCATTTGAATTGCTGGCGTACCAAACAAAACTACAATTATCTCTAGCTCTGATGAATCTGCAAAATATTTTTCTAATAAATACATTAAAAATAGAATCGAGTAACAGATCAATGTAAACAACGTATTGTTTTATCATTGAAAATATAAAATAAAATATATAAGCCTGTTTCTCTAATCTTTGTAACTTTCGTAAATTAAAACAAAATGGAAATTTTGACTATGAGACTAGTAATTAAATTATTTGTCTCAGACGGTATCTTTGTTAAATTCCGAGATTACTGTCTTGACGGTAATCTCTTAATTTATTTGACTGTTTGTTATTTAATTGTTTGCAGAATGCTTAAGCATTAAGCTCAGTCTTGAAAAAAGTTACGAACATTCGCAATGAAAAAATTAAAAAAAAAGGATTCATAAAAAAAATTAAATAAATCCATAAAAATGCATATAAATAAGCAATAAAAGTATCATATACATAATAAAAAGTCAAATAAATTCAATTTTGCAATAGCATTTGTGTATAACAGGGGTGGCGAACCTTTATGCACCAACGTGACATTTTTCTAAAAAATTGTTTAATTTGGTCATAGACGTGCCGTCAAACAATTTTGACTTCGTGATTATTGGGAAAATAATAACACTAAATACTGTCAACTCAAAACTCTTTATTTACTGTGGAAAAGAATACCTTTCGCAATGTCTCAATTATACACGTAATTCAACTTAAAGTAACATCAGTGTGACTTCTGTTGTTGCAGATNAATTTTGACTTCGTGATTATTGGGAAAATAATAACACTAAATACTATCAACTCAAAACTCTTTATTTACTATGGAAAAGAATACCTTTCGCAATGTCTCAATTATACGCGTAATTCAACTTAAAGTAACATCAGTGTGACTTCTGTTGTTGCAGATTAGATGACAAATAACTTATATTAGGTTGTAAGATGTTATTTTAAGCAGGTCTGTTAAATTTTTTTTGCTGATTATTTATTGTTAGCTTGTTTTTTATGGTAATTAGTTGTCTTTTGGCATTAATTGTAATTTTTTTGTCAATTATTGTTTATTTTTTTATGTTTGTTTTTGTGAATTTTAATTTAATTGGTAAATTGCTTCACAGTGAACTTCGTGATCGGTGGCGTGCCCAAAATATTATGTGGCGTGCCATAAGTGACACGCGTGCCATTGGTTCGCCATCCCTGGTGTATAACAATTTCAAAATATTTAATGCTAGTGTAAGTGCACAAAAAAACTAAAATCTTAGTATATTCAGATCTGAACATGGGATTTTAATTAACTGGGACTTAATTTGAATGGTTTGGAATAATAAACTAACTTTATGTTAGTTAATATTTGCAGGCGACACTTTAAAAAAAGAAATCACACAAAAATATAACCCTGTTTTAATTGGCATGCTTTTTGTTCAATGGAATTAGAATTTTGATCCTCAAAATACGGAGGAATTTTGAATCAGACAAATATATTCCTATATTTCAGACAGGAGAGTGTCTGAATTTTAGCCCCCATTACGCTAATTTTCTTTTTTACGTATTTCGCAATTTAAAAGAGGTTGTATTTTTAAAAGTTGATTTTTAAAAAATTATTCAACCGGTTCAATTCGAATTTTTATTTTGACATTTTAAATGATGCAGCTCAAATTGGTGTAAAATTTAGTTTATCTTACTATTTCAAAAATAGGGTAAAATCTTTTTCACGATAGGTAGGTAGATAAAAAAACTAATATATAATTACTCATTAAATAAATTTTTACATAGAAGGGAATTTTATAAAATTTATTAGTGAATTTATTAAATATTATATAAATATATAATATTTGTTTTCGTCTATGAATTTGGAACTAAGAAGTACCTCCGAACTGATTTATTAGAATATTTAAGGTTAGGATCTCTAACTAATACACTGATGGTCAAATCTACCAGAATATAGTAAAATTTACCATTTTTCTCCGTCTACAGAAGCACCAAAGCCTTCAGTAATTTTACCACAGTGCTTTGGCAATAGAATTTGGTGAAATTAACAATAAATTACAACTTAATAATGTAAGATAAAAATTGCTAAACGTGATATGTTTTTTTTAAATTTTATCTTGATACCTTTGAGCAAAGCAGAAAAACCATTTATTTGGTTAAATTCAGTTTTCAGTTTTGTATTCGTTTCTAAATATGTGGTTAATATAAAAAAATAATTTTAAAACCAGGACTTACAGTAAGTGGTTATCATATGAACAGAAAAATTATGAAATGAATGATTTGAAAATCGATTATTTTGGTTTTATAACTAGAATTAGGTTGTTTTTTTTAAATCATACAGTTCAGTAATTTAGCTAAAATATTTTTTTCAGTAGGGGAGAGTGGGGTCAATTGTAACATTTTTTACTTAACAACTTTAACTAACAAAAAATCCAATATATTATTAGTTATTATATAGATATTATATTATTACAATATATTATTAATTGACAGACTAGTAAAGTAGACTATCCTCTACTGGAAAAAAATACCTTATTTTAAATGTTATTATATTAGTTATTAACAATTTTTGACAGTCGTGATTACGTATTGGACAGA